TTTTAATTTCATTCACTTGTGAATAAATCCTGGAAATTTTATTAAAACCCAACAATTGTCTTATTAAAATTAACAAAAGAAAAAGGAGAGTATAAGCATAAACAGAGAATATTTGAATGTTTTACTGATAATATTTTACTAACATCAAAATCAGTAGACGTGATAATTGACCTCATTAAGGAAAGTTACAAAGTAGGTTTAAAAAATGAACAGAAATTAAACATGAATTTTGGTTTTTAACATTCAGAAAAAAGATAAGAATAAAAAAAAAAATGAAAACTACTGCTTGTTAAAAAAAGGCGGGGTGAAAATCAAGAAAATTTTTTATGACGAATTTTTGTTGATTATCATTCATTAGACATTCCTCTGACCACATAGACCCCCCCCCATCCTCAGTCAAAATCTCTGCCATCTTCACTATATTGTAAACAATGCCAGTTGATACGATCCAACTGCCACTGATTTGGTTGTTTTTGCTTATGTCTAGTTTGTTTTTACTACTTACTGCTTTTTGCCTGTTGTTTTAAATTGAGGAAACTGAAACCGTAGACAATGTTAGCATTGTCGCTATTGCTTGAAGGTTTATTGCAAAGCCCAGAATATGGTGCTGCTATTTTTGGATGTCCTGGTTGTGAATGGGCGGAAGGAAAATGTCATGGGTGTCTGCCTTGAACTTGAAATCAGAGCCTGGAATCAATGAAAGACAGCAGTTGTTGACACTGGGTTAAGAGTCAAATAGATTGTTCCTTTTGTGGTTGATCTACTGTGCCTACAATTTGTATACAGTGTTTAATTGTGTATCAAGGCATGTTTCATTCATGATCTCTGACCCTACCCCTGGAATATTTATTTCTTTGGATTTCCATCTTCAATTTATAAATACCAATTGGTTTGTTTTTGCATGTGCATGATGTTGATTGTTGCTCACCCACTGCACAAAGATGGCTGGTGAAAAAACAAACTGGGACAGATGAGTAGGTCCAACCACCAACATCTAGAAAACTGGTGTTACCTATGCAATTTTTTATAGTTATTCATAGTTTGTGAAATGCCATGTGAACTCTCATCATCTTGACAGCCTTGGTCCATGAACAAGAAACAATTGAGGACTTCATATGCTACTCAATTTAAATTATCTGATAGACACTGGTGATGTTCTTAATTTCCGAAATCATATCACAATTATTATGGATGGATGGATCTATCTATCTATCATATATACAGTGGAGGGAAACAAATATTCATACACATACAAATTTTTAATTTATTGTATTTCTAACTAATGAATAAACATACTTTTCATATAATTAACTGTACACAGATGCATAATAACTAAATATGCAAAGAAAACAAAAAAAATTGATTTAACAAAAATAAATCCCAATTTATCTATTTTAATGTGTGAAAAAGTATTCATTCATTGCAAATTTCAGATTTTAAAACTTTTAAATTGCTTTAATACTC